TTGCTGCAAGAGCACCAGTCATCTTCTGGAATATGTCACTACGAACCTAGGATGGAGACATGAACTTGGTCCAATCAGATGCTTTCAATCTTGTAAGCCACTTCTAGATTTTTAACAGGAAGTGGTATATAAAAGTGTTAAGTAAAGAAAATTTTAAAAAGCTAACCTACCACAAAAGATAATTGTGTGAGTAAAATGGGATGCAGGAGAGAGAAAACCATGTATGCTGCCCTGAGTTCCTAGGAAAAATGGAGAAATAAATATGAAATGAAAAAGCAAACCTTGATGGGACACAGAGAGATGAGTATAAGTGATATCAACATCAGCCTTTGCTGGTGTGGGTTAACAAAATAAGCCCCCCCCCAAAAAAAAATCTAGGAAGAAGAGACAATGAACCAAATGTGGCAAAGCAAAATGTAGCAATGCAAACTCCTGAAACAATCAAAGGACTGGACAAAAATCTGTGATTATATTATATGAAAGAGATTATAGAATGGTGAAAAGGACAGAATTCATGCAAGAGAGATGGGCTGCCATAACACAGCCTGTTCCCGCTTCCATTTCCTCCCTTTGTGGGACTTCCAAATATAAGAGGAGAGCAACAGGTTCCCCTGAAACCACTTTGGTAGAAATACAGGCCATGGGCCACGTGAAACTGAAGTTGCCTCTGCCTGACCTAATATTCTTTGAGGTGGTTTCCTCTAGGCAATCTGTCTCCTCTTCTGGCTTGAAGGAATCAATCTGTCCGTTTCTCCCAGCTATCCATCCACACTGGCTGGATTGCCTACAGGCTCCTTTTCTCACGTTTTCTTCCATTATGCAGGCTGGGGTTAGGGAAATGGATTGCAGTGCTGCCTTCAAACAGTGGTGGCCAAGGAGCTGCACAAATGGGCAAGCAGGAGACAGCAGATGGAGGGGGAGGCAGAACAGGAAACTCATTTACCCGGAGTAAAAATAGGCTGGAAAATGTGACATTTATTAAGTACAATTGTGGAAGAAAGGTCATCGCCAGCCCCAGCACCAAGATGGGGTGCCGCTGATTATACAGCTGGGGAATGAGGCAGCAACGCCAGGCTGAACAGCAGCAGTTGGGGGGAGGGCGCGGGGGGAGAAACAGAGATGTGTGTGTGTTTGGGTGTTGCTATTGTGGTTGGTTTATTTGGTGCTTTGAGCCTAAAATGTGCCAGCAGTGATGCTTGCTGTTCCACATGAGATGCCTCAGTATCAATATCTGCCTACATCCTCTCTGACCCTGATCCACCTTCTCCGTCTTCAAGCCTCAATCAAGAGGCCGCTTAAGGAAACCCAAGCAAAGAGAGTTCCTGCATCAAGCACCATCACCATCAACTTCTTTTGAAATTCTGGAGAGCGCAGTTCTTTAACTGATGGCTTTCCTTGGTCATAATTGCACCCCTCCTTGTTGTTCAATTCATGTTCTCATCCAACCCTTTGGACGCCATGCAAGCCTGCCTTGCGGAATTAAATTGATGAAATAGCTCCAGCATATTCCCTACTTCCATTCCCTTTGTGACTAGATGTCCCATATCCCAGTTACTGTACCCCCCCCCCCGGAACAGTTGCCTTCAAATACCAAGGTTAAAGAAACAGGATGTGAAGGGGAAGGTGGCGATCTACTGCACCTCACAATCCCTTCCAGAGAGGGAGGTAAGACTAGTGGCGTGAAATCTACAAAGAAAACAGTTGTCCTTGCCAAAGAACCTTTGACATTGACTCCAATTTTTTAGAAACACATTAGCTTCCCCTCCAAGTGCTAGAAGTGGAATCCCTGCAGAGCAGATGCCAGCTGGGTAATTGTTCTTTTGAGTGTGCACACTTGGTGTGGCTGAGCTTATTTCCTCCAGCCCGTCTCCATAAAACTTCATTTGCACTTTCCCCTTTATCACTTCCTTGTGCTCTGCCTTGATAGCCTCTCCACCTTGTATCTGTGAGACACTTTGTACCCCAGCATTCCACAGAGGAGAAATGGCTCAAAATGCAAAATCTAGCACCAACGGGGAGCAGACTGCCTGTCCTGTAAATAAGATGGTCATTGAGTGGGGGGATGCGTCTATTTAAGAAAATGAATAAGATGAAGTTCAGCTCCACTCATAATATGGATGCTTCCAGGGGCAAGAAATCAAGGTTAGAAAACTGAGCGTACAAACCATAACAACCAAAGCGGCTGGCTGGAAAGCGTTCCAAACCGATACTGAAGGGGCTCATGGCTCAAATGTTTGCCTTCTCGCCTGTGATCCTTGCTGCTGTATGGGGACTGGGACAGGATGAGACCAAAGCAGAACACACCAGCACTTCCCTCAGCTAGTCCACGGCTGCCAGGGAATCTCCTGTCCAGCAGAGTACAAAGAACCAATTGATTTTCCCGGCACAGACCAAGCAGCAGTGGTGTGTGTGTGTGTGCGTGTGTGTGTGTACGCGCTTGCAGGAGGAACGACTCTGCTCAACACAGTCAAGGAGTCTAAGCCACTGGGTTCGCACACAGATGCATTCACAACATCACCAGGGAAGAAGAGGTGCGGGGTAGTGGCGAGGTCTCCCTTCCGTTGCTATACATCCGCCATACATCTAAGGGAACAGGCGGCCAGTGGGGCTCAGCAGCGGGCAACAGCCCGCTAAGATTTACTACGCCGGCTGGGCTTTACTGCACACAAGATGCTTACGCTGGGGAATCTTCCCAGCGGCTCTTTAATTTGCCATCCCATAAAGAATGTGAATTTGTGACGCTAAATAGAGGGAGATCATTTACCAAGCGCAGCTCTTACTTACAGGTTCTTTAAAGGGGATTCATCATGAGATGCAAGGACTGGAGCAGCAGTCAGCTTAGCAGCAAAGTGGTCACAGCAATGGGAAGTAGCAGAAGCAGCAGCAGCTGCGCTTTTTCCAAAGGGAAACTGGACCCAGGCTAGCCCCTTCAGTGACCTTTCTGGACCTTGCAACTAGATACATGCTCAGTTACTCACCTTCCCCATGCCTTACCTCTGTCCATTTCTACACGTAGCCCCCCAGATGACCAAGAGCAGAAATCAGTACTCCTGCTAGAATGGCCAACAAAGTAAAGGGAACCTCTTGCCCCCATAGCTGTCCTAGCTGTCCTCCTGAAGCTACTCATAAAAGCCCTGTCTTTGGCACAGGAGGTCCACGGATGGGACATCCCCATCCATGAACAGCTCAATCCCACAACATGCAGTGCCCCCAAGACTGCCTACAGTCTTCTACTGCATAAGAGCAGACATTAGTACTGAATCAGAAATCTAAATCTCAGGGCCAAAGGACACCTTACCTAGGAGAATCATGACTAGATTTCCTAATAATAGTTTTGTTTGTTTCATTGATTGATGGCGTTTTAATGAAATGCAGTGTTAGGAACTGCCAATTTCTTTGGACCAGTGCTTGGGAAAGGAGGAGGGACTTAATTCTTTCCATTGCATCAAAGAAAGACAAAAAGAATAAAACTCTTCCTGGTTGACTGTCGGCCCCATAGAGGGAACATGCATGCCTGAGTATTTCCTATGTGGGGCCAACAACAGTTGGATTGAGGGGCAGATCTAGACCAGGAAAACAGAACAGAGGAGCGTTAAACACCCTCTTGGCGCTCCTCTCTCACTGCTGTTCTGAAGAAATTGGCAGACTCTGTGGTAGCATTTCAAGAACAACAGCCATTAAAAAAAAATCAGGAGATCCAGATGCAAATGTAATTTGGTCCTTTGAAGCCTTAGGAATGGCATTGTGGTGGTCTGAGCAGGTTGCCAGACAGCAGAGCTTAATCTGACTAACGTATATAGTTTGTGGAATTTCAGCTTAGTATTTTGATGGCTGGTTGATGCATCTACAGAGTAGACTTCATACTTAATGTTGCCTGTTGTTCCCCACTCCAGCCTGGGGTTCTAATACAACTTACATGGAGCCCATGCAGCCAAGCACTTTAGACAACCATTGCCAGCTGTGGGGCAAAGTTGTCATCCGTCTTTGGCCAGCTCCTGGATTCCCTGCCTTGTATTCCTCTGCCAAGTCTGACATGCACTTTCGTAGCAGGGACTCGGGACCAGAAGACAACAGCAGCAGGAGCCTAGAAGCTGATCTTTGACCCACCTATCATGTGTGTTTATTATGCATATGTGTGGGTCATTTTCTCCCCATTTCCCCATTTACATTTCTTCTTGTTCTGCACACTCCTCCTTTTAACATCCTCCCCCCCCCCCCACACACACACACAGTGATCAGAAGGCGAAACAGCCTCCCATATCCGCAGGAGAGAAGCAGCTCATTTCCAGAGTCATTATGGTCTGAAAAGGGTCCCATCAGGTATTCCGCCCGCTCAGCACATTTATTTCCCCAAACCACAGCAGGGGTTTGTGATTTTCAGACCCAATATCAAGCAAGCACAGGACTGGCTCATTCCACCCAGCAGGAAGCTTCTCTTGATAGTGCAGTCAGTACCATGCCAGAATGTGCCAAGATGACTGCCATGCCACCTTCGCTGGGACAATGGTAGTTCTACAATGGGCACTGAACTGGGAGTACAGCTTGCTTGAAGCTGGGGAAAGCACTTAAGCAGCAGCCCACTGGAAAAATGTAGGAATCCCTAAGTGTATGCAGGATCCATCTGGGCATCTCCTATCTTCTTTAAGTATCTGGGACCTTATGGCCTTCCTCTCCTAACTTACAAGTTCATCAGCTCCTGCTCCCTGCCCCACTCTTCATGCTCAGTGGCTGTCTACTCAAATGAAGTAAGAGTTATCCAGGATGTTCAGCCTGCTTATGCCTGTGTCATCCTTCTTTCCTCTTGTGTATTACCCCGTACACATTTCATCCACTGTCCCATGTTCCCAGATGCTTGGGCAGCACACGCACCACATCCACTCTTCTTTGTCAGACTGATACTTAAGGTGCAACCTCAGCCCTGGCATAAACTTGGGCACTGACAATACATTAATTCCAAAAGAGCACAAGAAGAACATGGGGAAGGCAGAGCAGATACTCACCACTGTGAAGTTTTCCGCAGAGCAATTCTCACCGCTGAAGCTGCAGTTCTTCAGCATGTCATCGAGTTGATGCCCAGTGCGGTTGACAATGTCGGCCATGTCTGGGTCAGGATAGAGCAGGTCAGAGGCCTTGTGTCCATCACGGTCCTTGGGTGGCAATCCAGTCATGTTGGCTAGGTGGAAGATATCGGCATCTGTAAGTGCCGAATGACGGAAGCGGTTGATGTTGCAAATGGTGACGGCTGGGAAGACCATCTTTTGGGTAGCCTCCTCGTCCAGGGTGGTGACATGCGGATGCTCCAGGTAGAAGAGTGCTGACCGGGCTGCCTGATACAGGAAAAAGGCCAAAGAGGCCACAAATGCAAGTGCCCAGAGGGCCTGTCGGACCCCCAGCTGCCCTGAGCGGCAAATGTGGGCCAGGCCGTGCAGGGTGCTGGTGCCAGCAAAGGCGGCCAGGTCACGATGGTGTGGCCGGCTAGGTTCCTCTAGCAAGCTCTCCTTGTCCCCTTCCTCTTTCGCCGCCTGCTTCTCATCCTCCTCTGCAAATTTGATTTTGCAGACAATCTCAATCGGCATCTGTGCCGAGGCACCAGGCAGCACGCTACCCCCCCAGTGAGGGGAGGCAGTGGAAGCCTGGGGTGCCCCGCACCGGCCGCTCACCCCTGGCTGCTGCAGGACGCCCCTAAATTAGTAAACCCAACCAGGGAGGAGGAGGAGGAGGAGGACTGGGGAATCGGGCCCCAGTCTCTCAGAAGCTCCCGAACGCAGCTTGCCTCTTGTCTCACTAGTGATCTTCTGGTGCTTCCGTTTGCTTATCTGCACAAGCCCAGCTGTCAGAGCTGCCCGCCGCTCCCTGTGCCGCTGTGTGTGCCGCTCCTCTGCACGCCCGGTTAAGACCCCACCAGATACAGGCAGCATTTAGGCATCATGTGCTAATAAAATCCAGGGGATACTTAATAATTCAAGGCATGTCAACATTATTTCATCCTCAATTTTTTTTTTTTTTAAAGCAGGGTGTGGGTGGGGGGGAGAGCTAGTGGAAGATAGTGAGCAGTAACGGGAAAGCCAGAGCTTGGAAGCGGAGCTTGGTTTGCCAGAGCCACCACTCCAAAGTGATGCTAGAGCCACTTGTTTGAATCACTCGCAAGCTGGCAAAGTCTATGCCAAGGAAAGGAGGGAAGGGAGCCAGAGATTGAGGCTGCGGCGGCGGCGGCGGCGGCGGCTGCTGCTGTTGCTGTCGGCTGCGGGAGCTTCTCAGACAGACTCCCTGGCTCTCGCTCCGTGCCTGACACCCACTTCCTCCGGGGGAGTCCCTTCAGGTGCCCAAAGCAGCTGCCCTGCTAATTCCTACCTTCCATCTCCGTGGACCTTCCAACGCCTCCTTGCCAACGACGAGGAAGAAGAGAGGAAAAGTTGAGAGGGACAGAGAGGGGCAGGAACGAGCTCCTCGCGTGTCGTCGGCTGGTACCGGGTCCAATGAACAGCGGCGCCACATACTACACCCCCACCCCACCCGCAGGCTCGAGAACTGTCTAATTGGAGAAGGAGCGGCCGAAGGAGGAGAGCGGAAGCGAGGAGGAGACGCCCCCTCCTCCTATTGATCCCGCTCCCCACGGAACAAACAAGAGGCAAAAAGTGAAAGGCTTATTGATCGGCGGGAGGGAGCGCAGCTGCTGGGGATTAGGGCAGGCGCGAGCGGGCGGGCGTGTGAGGGGAAGGAGGTGAGCGCTGTCCGCGGAAAATGAACGCCGCGCAGCCGGGACCGCGGCACTGCCCAGACCCAGCCTGCAGCACAACCTCCTTTCCCGCATCACTGGTTCTCTTGCCTCCGTTTGCTTCGGAGGCACTTTAATTGCTTTTCCAAACGGATGTGTGTTCCTCTTCCCCGGCCTGCCTGACAAGTGAAATCCGGGCAGGGGAAGCCCACCAGCAGCTGCAGCTGGCGCGGGACCAGGGCTCGGAGCGCTCCGGCCCGCGTGATGCACAGAGGACGCCTGGGGGGCGGGGTGGGAGAGCCGGGCAGTGCCGAGGCGGAGGAGAGCGCCGGCAGGAAATGCAGACTCGCCAACTACGCCCAGCAGGTGTTGCGAGGAGGCGGGCGGCGGCCGCAGGCAGGGCTGCCCCGGCTGGCCCGAAGTTCTACGAAGGCG